TATCAGTCAGGAGAAGGGTATAAAAGAATTTCCAAGGCATTAGATATACCATGGAATGCAGTGAAGACCGTCATCATCAAGTGGAGAAAAGATGGCACAACAGTGACATTACCAAGAACTGGATGTCCCTGCAAAAATAACGAAAAGACTAGAAGAAAATTGATCAGGTCAGGGAGGCTGCCAAGAGGCCTACAGCAACATTAAAGGAGCTGCATGAATATCTGTCAAGTACTAGCTGTGTGGTACATGCGACAACAATCTCCTGTATTCTACATATGTCTGGGCTATGGGGTAACTGGCAAGATGGAAGCCTTTTCTTATAAAGAAAAACTCCCAAGCCCGGCTAAATTTTGCAATAACACATCTGAAGTCTCCTAAAACCATGTGGTGAAAAGTATTATGGTCTGATGAAACCAAGGTTGAACTTTTCGACCATAATTCCAAAAGATGTTTGGCACAAAAATAATACTGTGCATCACCAAAAGAACACCATACCCACAGTGAAGTGTGGTGGTGGCCGCATCATGCTTTGGGGCTATTTTTCTTCAGCTGGGACAGGGACCTTAGTCAAGCTAGAAGGAATTATGAACAGTTCCAAATACCAGTCAATATTGGCACAAAACTTTCAGGCTTCTGCTAGAAAGCTGAACATGAGGAGGAACTTCATCTTTCAGCATGACAACCACCCAAAGCAAACATCCAAATCAACAAAGGAAGAGCTTCACCAGAAGATTAATGTTTTGGAATGGCCCAGCCAGAGCCCACACCTGAATCTGAATTACCAGTAATATCTGTGGGGTAATCTGAAGAAGGCTGTGCATAGGAGATGCCTTTGCAATTTGAGATTTGGAGCATTTTGGCAAAGAAGAGTGGGCAAATATTGCCAAATCAAGATGTGCCATACTGATAGAATCATACCCAAAAAGTCTGAGTGCTGTAAGAAAATCAAAAGGTGCTTTAACAACATATTAGATTAAGGGTGTGCACACAGATGCAAACATTATTTCAGTTTTTTTTTAACTTCCCTCCACCCAAAAAATTTCAGTTTGTTGTTCAATTGAGTTGTACAGTTCATAGGTCTTATTAAAGGTAGAAAAAGTTTTGAAATGATTTATCTTTGTCTCATTTTTTACATCACAGACACTTGACATTTTAACGGGGGTGTAAACTTTTTATATCCACAGTATTTCAACTTTTTTTACTATTTATATGCTCACTTGGGTTAGCCTTAATTTTGTCTTTTAATGTTGTAAGCTGCCTTAGTTCCTTTCAAGGAGAAAGATGTGGTAAAAATATTTTAAGTAAATAAATAAGTCTACATTAAGACTCATTAAGAACAGAAGCAGGCAACCTGATGCCCATCCAGACATTTCAGACTACAATCGCCATCATTCCCAAATACTAGCCATGCTGTCTGGGGTACAATCTGAACCTATTAGTTTTACAAAAGACTTGCTCATATGCTGCAGCTGTTCTGGTAAAAGGCAGAAAGGGGACCAGCAGCAGAGGATTTTCCAGCTCCGGTAAGCTAAAAAACCCCTCTTTCTTATAATGGTTGCTCCTGGGGCCATTGAGCTGGCCTCCCTCCTCCTTCTGCCCAAGCTCCGCCCGCCCCCTCTCAGTAGAAGTTCTGTGGCTTTGAAGCCTTCTTACCTCTGAGAAAGCAGCTCCAGCAGCAACAGATTTTCCAGCCCAGGCAAACTAAAAAAAAAAACCCTCTTTTTTGTAATGGTTGCTCCTGGTGCCATTGAGCTGGCCTCCCTCCTCCCAAGCCCCGCCCGCCCCCTCAATAGAAGTTCTGTGGCTTTGAGGCCTTCTCTCCTCTGAGGAAGCAGCCCCAGAAGCAACAGATTTTCCAGCCCAGGCAAGCCCACTCCCCCACTCCCTTTTTGTAGTGACTGCCACTGTGTCCCCACAGGACGGCACCAGCCCGCGAACCGGGGGTTGGGGAACCCTGTCCTAGGCCATGTGGTGTGAGGGGAAACAAAAGAAATCCCAGCAAAAACAAACTGCTCAGCAAATATTGGCACTGGCTGTGAGCTTTGAAGTGATGAGGGACAGATTTCTTAAAGGGTACATGTAATGACTATGCACATACATCTGACCATTTTAAATTCAGTATTTAAAGGTCAGCAAGTAGCTCTGGGTGCTATTTAAACATGGTGCAGACTGATGATGCCTGATGGCTTCAGGATTCTTGCATAGGGGACCACAAGCTCTGTAAAGGTAAAATCAAGATCATGACTGTGCGAAAAAAAATACACAGAAAATTACAATTGAACGTAGAGACAAATCTCAACTGGAAATTAGGCAAAGTACTCGTGTACAGAATTCTTTTGTTTTTAAAGTGAATCCAAATGTGAAATATTTTTATTGGCCACTTTTAAATAGCATAGCAATTGCTGGTGGAAGGGATTATGAGGAGACAAAGACAGGCAAGCAGGCTAGTGTGAACCACCCCAGGCACCTGCTCTGTCTGGGCTATCTCTCCTTTCCAGCACAGCCTCCTGCCATGAACTGCCTGGTGGATAGAGCCTTAAAAGTTACCAGTTTTTAGTAATATGGCTGCAAGGATAGTCCTGTGAGACAGATATAAGAAATCTGGGAGTGTTAAAACACTCTTGTACAAGCAAGCTGGAGATTTGACCATACACAGACTCAAGAGAGAATAAACGCTGTTTATTTCGAGTGGCTACTCGGGTCCCCCAGACATGAGGGACATTGACCCAAAAGTACAAAGAGCTTTTATGCCTTCTAACCACAAGGAAATAAAGGTACAGAAAAATCCTCACTGGCTGACAAGTAGGTCAAGGGGGTTATTCAGTATGCATTCTATAGGGTCGAACAGCAAAGAGGCATATGTTTTCTAAGTATGCAGGCAGTTCCCTCCCTTTGGGTACTCTAAGTTGTCTGCAAGCTGTTCTGTGGTTAGATTTTAATAGGAAATTAGGTAGACAGGATATTTGTGGTTGGTCGATGTAAC